CCCCCCTCCCCCCTCTTCCACCTTAGCTTTTACATGGAAAAAACCTTCCATGCCGTTTAACCTTAGCGCCATGATTTACCGTGATTCTTGACACCGGTATAGCGACGCTACAATCACGTTTGTATGAAATCCATGTTGGGCTATTTCACATAAAAAAACGATTTTTGGGTCAATCCATTGAATACATCTGATTTTTTTAGCTCAAACAAAAAAAAAACAAATAAGTTCTGTTGACCAACCTAATTAGAAAAACATTCAATCGTTTTTTTCGTATACCACGACAAGTCTAACCCCCCCCCCCCCCCTCCCAAACTCTCCGATCTCTCTGAATCGACTACTTTGGAGTTCCCTCCCTGAGCAATGAGCAAACAAGAGGATTACAGAGACGATGATGATGAGTTTAGAGATGTGGTGGAAGATCTTGATGAAGAAGTGAATGCATCGGATGATGTTGACTCAGAAGCCGGACCCATGGATTGCAATTAAACTCTATACAACACTTTGACGCTTTCTAATTCCCATACTACTATATACGAATATTACATATGCTTGATGTTATGTTTTATATGAATTTTTTATGATGTTAATTTTATATAGTATTAGGACTCTAATAAATAAATTCCAGATAAAACTGCAAAATTGGTCTATGGTTTCCCGAAAACTGTGAATAGGGTCCAAAAATTTTCCGACTTACATGAAGATCCAAAATTAAGAATTTATCATGATTTTGGTCCTAATAATTGAAAGGACTACTTTACCCTTTTAATTTTTTTTCTACATTTTTATATTTATTTTAATAGTTTGTTAATTTAAAAAGAAAAGAAAAACAATACACACACATAAAGAAAACACCCTCATAAATAAAAGAAAAATAACACACTCAAGTTTCCTTTTATATGTCAGAGATCTCTTACTACCCTGTCGGTGGATCTCGGGGTGTGCAATGGTGAACTGGGAACCGTATTTCCTCCCTTCCTCTCGATATCTTTAGAGTTCTCTCTTCAAATCACGACGTTTGCCTATGAATCGTTGTCAAAACCAGATTCATCGTTTGACTCATTCAGTCAACTCAATCAGAACTGGAAATATCTTTCCAAGAAAACTCAATTAGCTAGCACAATGCATTGGAAAAAGAATCCCAAAAACATTAAAGAAAATAAAGATGAAAATAGAAAGGTAAACGAAAATCTATAAAAATTCCATTTCTTATTCAAATGTCAATTAATGAAACATTTACTAAGATGCGAACAGTGACCAAAACAATTAATGGAGGTATACGAAATATGCAAAACCTGAATACTCCTCTCATGAAGTTCTTCAAAATGTTGTATACTGAGGTAGATTCTAGATGAAGTTCCTCAAAATGTTATATATATATATATATATATATATATATATATATATATATATATATA